AAAATCAGCTTATTCAATTCTGAAAATAAAAAAAAGGTTAAGGTACATTATTAGAATATTTTATTATAATAATATTTAAGCTATATATTGCTTGTACCAAGGCTCATTTTTTTTTTTTTTTATAAATATTATGTGAAATCCTTTTAAATTAATAATAGGTAGCAAAAGTAATGAAACCGATAAGGAAAAAATATTTGAAATTAATTTTATTTACGTTTCCAGTATTATGAAATTCATATACATTATGCGTTAAATGTTTGCGGGAGAAAAATTTAGATTTCAAATTTGGGGAGGCGCGGGACACGGGAAAAATGGTTTTTCGCATATTACAGGAGAGGAGGTGGCGTACAAATTCATACAAATTATGTGTAAAAGGTTTGTGGAAAAAAAATAAGATTTCAAATTTGGGAGGATGAGAGACATAGGAAAAAGGGTTTTTCGCATATTACAAGAGAGAGGTGCCGTAAAAATTATGGAAACGGTCGTACAAATTCATATAAATTGAGGTCTTAAGTTTTAATAAATTAAAAAAAAGAATACTTATTTATTTATGTTAGAGGGGGCCGGAGACATATGTCTCTGGCCCCTCTTCAGAATTTTTGATATAAGTTCAATAACAACGTTGTACAAATTCTGAAAACTGTCGTATAAATTCATACAAATGATATACAAAATATTTGAATACAATTTTTCTATAGGTTTCATGGTGGTGGGCTGGTAACATGAACGCCCTCAACAGTATGGTTATAAGCAGGGCTCGAGACTTGTAGTATTTGCATATTTTTTTGTAGTTTATGAAAAGATAGCAGAGTAAGCAATAAATCCATTTCAGACAAAAATGAACTCAATACTAAAAATTTTTAGTGCATATTTTTGCATATTCTAGAGGTTTTGCTATTTTTTCGACTATTTTGCTCTTTATTGCTAATTAATGTAAAAACTCAGTCTTGCAAAAATACATATTTCGACCACTCATCAGTGATCAACAGTTTTGGGACGTTATAAAACTCATAGTCGATTGAAAAAGATATTCCTAAAATATCCCAATGCAAGTCAATATTGTGTTTATCAAATCTTTTATCTTAATGTTGTTGTTGTACAAAACATTATTAAGCAATAACAGATCTTTCAAGTTTGAAAATATTCGGAAACACATAATAATACAGTACAATTATGAAGGTACAAACTTTAAGTTACTTTTTAATGATTTATTGATTTGAAATAATTATATTTTACAAATTGGCAAAATTCGACTCATACAAATTAATGAGAACAGGAAAGAGTTTTTAGTCATTATTTGTAGAAAACTATAACTGTAAAATTATATAAAAATTTTTCTTTAAATTTTAATAATTATAAATTCATAAATGTCTAAATAAAAATTTTAAATAATTTTTAAAGCATATTTTCATATTTTTAGTGCATATTATAGCGCATATTTTACATTTTTTCGGTGCATATAATAGCGCATATTTCATGATTTATTAGTGTTATAAGTCTCGAGCCCTGGTTATAAGAATGTTATTTTGTCGTCTTCCTACACAGTTATGTACTACGTTTGCCTATACTTTACGCCGTCTTGGGTGTTTTGCATTCATTAAACATGAATGATTTGTTCTATGCTAGGACACATGAATGCTTTTTTGAATATATTAAGTACAAAAAACAATTGTGATTACAAGATTATTTTAATCTATTGTAGAAACAGTTGTTTAAGTAACTATATTTTTTGAAAAAATGTAAATGGGTAAGGCTAGGCACCCGAAGACAATTTTATGAGGTGAATGCAAATTAATAAATTATTGTAAAATTTAACATGACTATTACTACTATAGTTGTTGTAAAAGAGATATTCTGTGATAAATCTGTTAAAATATTTTATTACAAATAAAAGAAACAAAACCAAAACATTGGTTTATTGAAAGAATTTTTAATATAATCTGATATTCTATAACCTGTAGGCCTTCTAGGTAATTTATTTATATTAAGCACATTTTATACCCTGTATACTTTCCATGATCTCAACATGTAATGTCGGAATAAAAACAATGTAGTCTTGCGCAAAGGTAGTTGTCACTACCTAAATCGGCTTCTCGATAATATATTTCACTGTTAAACGGGTTCCTATGCTAAAAGTAATAAAGAAAACCAATACCCGGTTCCTTTAATCAAGTACCATGTGAAAATTTAAGACTATACTCGTATACTATTAATATAATATGAACAAAAATTGAAAGAAATATAATTTTTAAAAATTAAAACCCTTAGTAAACGTAAATAGAATAAGACAACTAAAATTAAATATAGATTATTTACCACATCATTGCTTCTGTCATGGTGTGCCACCAAAAAGTATTGTTAAATATAAATTTTTTTACCGTCAGAAATTTATTTGAATTATAAAAAAACATTAACCATTGAAATACTAAGGTCTGTTGTAGGTTTAATGGTTTCTATACATCCTCATTTAAGTTTCTATTTAAAAACGACTATTAGTAAAATTAATATTGTATAGCTATGGTTCTCAACCGGTGTGTCGCGACATACCTGCTAATGTGTCACGTATTACTTTGGAGTGTGCTGCCAAAATATTATTAAAATTATAAGCTTTCAGAGTATGAATGTATATTATTACGGAATTATGATGAAATAATAAAAGGCGCATATAAAAAAAAACATTATAATGATATTCTTATTGATTCTTATTTTTTAGAAATATCATCAAATATAATGTTAAAATCTTAATTTTTTATGTCTCAAAATGATTCATTTCGAATTTCTCTGTAAATTCAGTACACAGGAATAATAAGAATTGAAAATTTCGTTTTCCTTTCTAGAACATTATACATGTCTGAATCAGCATGTTCGATATTGAAAATAACAAAAAACAAAAAAGATATTGAGAGTAAATTATGCGAAATTTTGTTAACCATTTGTCCATGAATTGAAGACCTATGAAAGGCCTGCATATTTATGAACTAATACTGTTTTTCATAAAACTTTTTTTGAACTTTTTAAATTTTAATTAAGTAAATCAAAACTATTTTTTTAAGTTTTAAATTTTTAAATAAAATTTCCAACAATAATAAAATCCATTAATTGTTTCAAGTGTGTTGCCATTTTTATAGATCTAAATTAGGGTGTCGTCATCGAAAAAGATTGAGAACCACAGGTCTATAGCACATGTTAGTTCTAACATAACTAAGTACAAATATAATAATGTATTGTTATTTGAAACGTGGATTAAATATTAAAAATACACTTAAAAATAATATTACCTATAAATATTTCTTAATCGCAATAAAAGGAGTATGCCAAAAAAGGCTTAGTTTCTTAGTGTTTAATACATAGGCACACACTAGGCTACATAATATAATTATGTATTTTATTAATTATCTGAAATATAATGTAATTAAAAACATACATATTGTAAGATATACGATATAAATATAAAAATAAATGTACTATAAATTATACATTTGTCTAATATCATCATATTATTAGTGTATTTTGTCATTTGCTGCCTTAGGTTATGTTCTTTATCGAACGTACTTTTATTTTTTTGGTTTGTACTTCATAATTTTACTTATGTCTCTAGCTGTATTTCTAATAAATCGTCCATAAAGTTGAAAATTTTAGGGCGTGGACTGTAAAATCGACGGTATAGTTGTAAATAATATGATTAACAGCTTTTGGTTGTAGGCATGGCAGTAGCAGAAAATTGTGACCAAATATTTGGAAGAAAATTAGCATCTGTTGAGATATAATGTCTAGTACACAAACGTAAAATATCCATAAAAAAATAAAACCATCATAAAAATCGGTGATAACTGATACATAATATTATGCCAAACATAATATTATATACGTTCACGCCTGTAATCAAAAATTACATTCACATTTTATCCTTGAAAAGAAGTCAGATTACTAGCCGGAACCCAACTTGCCTACCTTTTTTCCCCGGTAATTAACTTACCGCTTTTAAAAATACCCCAATTTACCTAGCAACCTGTAAAATGTACCTAAATTAGTATATTTATCTTAAAGACTGGATAAAAATTGAATACGTTAAATTATTTTCAAATTTTGGTAATCAAAGTAATGTTATTAATGGTGTTTTATTATCATGTTTTTATAACATTAATATTTTTTCGTTTATTAATTTTAATCAATATAAAAATCATGTATTTAGTGTACTTTCTTAGATTTTTATTGTTTTGTATAATTTGCTTTTAATTTGTAATTTAATATTTTTTGTACCTTTTATATTTTAATTGAACTCAACTCATTCGCATTCAAGCTTATTTGTTTATAGGATGAGTTGCAACTATTTAAAATATTTATTGTATATTTAACTTGTTAAATATAAATTATGATATTATTGAAAATTTTGGCATAAAAAATCTTATCAACATATTTACATGAATGGCTCCCACGGTTGTAAATAATAATATTAATTTACACAACCAAGCAGACTTCAAATAAGCATGTAAAATGAGAGGTTACTAACTAATATTTGAAATTTATAGAGGGAGTAAGAACTCGTAAGTGGGGGGAGGGGGCAGCCGCTCACCATGCCCTTCCCGTAATACCGCCTATGGTTTAACCATTTTAGGCTGAAATAAATATAGACTATATAAGAAATTTAGAGCCGATGGAAGTGTACTGAAAGGAGCATTTACTTATGTGATAAGAGGAAAGAGGCCAAGGGGAAGACCACGGAAAAGGTGGGGGGATAGCGTCAGGGAATTATTAGAAGAAATTGGAGGGGACTGGGAACAAGCATACAACAGAGAACGATGGAAGGTATTAGTTTTAGCGGCTAAGAGTTTAAATGGCTCGTGAAAAGCCCAAAAAAAAAAAAAAATATTGGAAATTGTAATGTATTATGTCTGTGTGTACTTTTTTCAGATCTAAAATATAAACATAGAGTAACTCTATATAACAGACTAACATAATGATAGTGATGAATAAATTACGCGCATGCGCAGAATGCTTAAGGTGCATTCCTGTGTTTAGACGTTCCTCGAAAAACTAGCTCATGTTGCTGTTGCGATCCTCTCGTATATTTAAGACTACCTACCTACTATTAATTATCAATTGTATAGTATCATTGATACTACATTAAGCAACGAGTTGTAACAACTAGTATTTTTTACTTGATTGAGATTAGTGGTTAAATACCAGTCATTATTTCGTATATCACTATGCAATATGCATAATTATTTGTATTAATTTGATAAATACATTTTACATACATCGTTTTTTTTATGATTTTTACTGTTGTATGTCCATAGTTGATGCTAATTTAATTGCCTCTTTTTGTTTCCAAACTTGTAAGTCTAATTTTTAAGTTAAATTATAACTCTATAATACTTTACTGTAGTAAGTAATTAAATATGTATTTGTTTAATTGAGGTTGTGAAACTAATAGTAATGACTCACGATTCAATGAAAGAAGCTGCAAAATGGATTTCATATAAGAATCCTGTTGTCACTAATTCAGTTCAAGGGTTTAATTCAATGGTAAGTATATTGCACATAATAGTGGTACATTTCTATTCAGGCACTTTAAAATTTAATAATAAATACAATTTAAAAGACTTAATTTAGACAATCTTCTTTAATTGTAAATTACTTGATTTCTGTTATTTATGGCCTCGGTATACACTAAATTTTAAATTATGGTTATTTTTAATTGTAATTAAAAAATGGTTGTGTATTGTTGTTAACATTTTATTATATATATCAATGTATTAATATTTATTATTAACTTTTACAATTTATAGTACAATAATTACTTAGAAATATTTCAATGGTGTATAACTAATATTATGAATAATATCCTAACATTTTAGTTTTAACATACTACCTAATAAGTAAATATCATAGTTATATCATACTAATTGCTATCATTGATTTTTAAGAAATATCTCTCTTGACTGAAACCTGACATAATCATTTTTTATTATGAATTACTTTAAAGGTTGTTTTATGATACATGCAACAGCTTTTTGTATGTTTTATTGGGCATATAAAATAAACAGTTTAAATGTGAACTTAATAAAATGTCTATATGTTCCAATTTTTACTGAGTTTTACATCTCAATATTAACTGTATTTCTTTTCATCCTTTAGTAGTATTCAGTTATTTTATTGATTTTTGACTGTATGGAAGAAATATTGTTATGATTTTTTACTACAATGTTCCATGTATGTGTGCAACAGAATTGCTGTAGATCAGACATATTGAAAAAAAACAAAAAACATCACTCAAATTAAATATTATATTATAGTTATTAAAAAAAATAAATTAAGTTGTTGAAACTATAATATATATATATATTACTATATTATAGTCAAGGAGAAAATTAAACTTAAAATGGATGAAAAGTTGTAATACGATACATAATATAATATATCAAGTCTGTAATTACATGTTCTTAATTAATTACATGTAATTACTTGTTCTTCAATTTCATGTAAAATGAATCTGCGTCCATTAGTCTTATAATTCAATTTTGCATTTTATTCTGATTTGATAAGACGTACAATTTACTGTATACATATTCCGTTCAATTTGTTATGATGATTAGTCGAGTTCAATAAAATTAACAGTTAATCGTTGTGTGGAAGCCAGCATTAATAATTATATACCAAATGGATCAATTTTATTAATATTTTTACTATAATTTTATTTAAATAATTTATTTAAAATATTTAAGCGAGTTTTTAAGGTATATTATACAATTATATAATTCTAATTTTGATTGAATTTAAAATTTTTTATATTCATTTTTTAATATATAATATAATGAAAAATTTATTTTTTACTTGTTTGTTAAATTATTATTATTTTTTTTAATTTGTTTAGCTAAGTTGGATCGGATTAACAAGTTCTGGTGAAAAGCAAAATATAATGAAACTCGAAAATCACGATTTATTTAAAATTATTGGAAAAAATAGTTATATCTTTAAAATGGCTGGTCTTTTGGGAGCATCAGCTGTTATACTTGGAGCTTACGGTGCTCATGGTTAGTAAAATATTTTTATGATACATTTAAAAACAGTCCAAACAATAATAATTTTTTTATAGTTAAGATTTATATTATACTACCATAGAAGTTATGTGATATAGAGAATTAACTATTTAAATTGAACATATGTACAATTTATTTAAGTAAAAGTCTTGAAAATAAGTTCTGAATAATTTAAGTTCTAAGTAATTTATGTTAAAACAATTTAATTATAACATAATGTAAATTATATTTTATTCTTAACAGTTTTACAAAAAGTGAATTTAACCTATCAGAACTTAAGTTAAGCAATTTATGTATCATTGTTTATTTACAAATAATAATGAATCTTATATTTATTAAATTTCTAAAATATTTATTTAAAATATGTTTTTAGTTGTAGCACATAAAGCTAATCCAGAAGAAGCTAAAAATTTTGACACCGCAAATCGGTATCATTTTTTTCATACATTTGCATTGTTTGGTGTACCATTTTGCCGGTTCCCAAGAATTGTATGTATAATATTTTTAAAGTATTTCTATGAAAATGTGTAAATAAAATGGAATTTTTTTTCAGACTGCTGCTCTACTTATTAGTGGTACATTTATATTTTGTGGAACATGTTATTACAACGGATTGACTGCAGATAAAACATATAATAAATTTACTCCCACTGGTGGTATGTTATTAATTGCTGCCTGGTTGTCAATGGCCTTATAAAATATAAATTATTACAAGATTTAACTGGTTTTATAGTTAAAATTATGGTATTTAAGAATATAAAACTATGTATAAAATAATGCCATGATATGATATGTATTATTGATCTAGATTTATTTTTCTTATCAAACTTCTCAACATTTATTCTTAATATCAAGAATAATGAATTTTTTATTTTTCATACATATATAAAAGGTTGTAAGAAAAAAGTTAATAAATATGTTTATCTTTTAATAACATTAAAGTAAATGGAAAATAATAAACAACTTAATGCTATATTATGAATAACTTCTATTTTCCTTACCATAATGGCTATTTTTGGATATTTTTATTAGATTATTCATATAGGTATTGTATATGTAATGCCTTATTTACATACATGATAATGAAAATATAAAATCAAGTAAAGCTTTTACATTTTATGTTTTAAAATAAAATAAAATTAAAAAAGTTCATTGTTAGAATTGTAAATTATAAGTGTAATAAGTTATATATGTGTGTAATAAGATTTTAAAATTAAGTATACATTTTCATTGTTGATAAAATTGAGTATTTATAATGAAATGGTTTTGTTAATCTTGTTCTCGATATATAAATTTTATTTGTATGAATTAACAATATTAGTATATTACAATAGCCTTTTCGTTTTAGTAGAATTTTATTATCTGAATAGTAGTTTTTTAATGTTCTTGTTTTTTATTTTTGTTATGAAAATTATTTTTCATTATTAATACAATTACTAACAATTAGGAATTTGAAAAAAATATTATAAGTTTTACTATGTTTCGATGTTACACAATAATGGCAAGGCATACATTTTCTACAATTATTCTGGAGGCCATGAGGGTGAAATATATGCAATAGCATACATTTAATAACTATTCCTGATGCAAAACAACAAACTACTTGATTTATGTGATATAATGTTTATGTGAAATGGATTGATGATAATTATTTGACTATTTCAATGGTTATATGAAACGTCTCAATAGTGAATTGAGCAAATATAGGCATACATGAAAAATCAAATAGTAAATGCTTATTACTTAATTTAAGTTATCTAGGATATTTAATTATTGCTTGCTTTAAAAATGTAATACCTATTTAAAATATAAAAAAAATTAGAAGTCGAAAAAACTATAATACAATTAAGATAATATTTGTAATTGTTATTCAACATTAATACTTTAATGATAAACATGTTATTTAAGTTGTTTGAAAAATAATTTATATGAAAGAAAATAACTTATTATAACAACGTAATGTTTTGTAATCAAAAAAAACTGTTTTGAAGAACCATTTTGGTAAGAGTCGTAATTTAAAATTTTATTCATATAAACAAATATAAAGGTCTTTTAATCACTAAGACTACATAGTGCCAGAAGCAATTTGATTTTAGTGGGAACAAAAATTAATATATGTTTAATATAAATAAAATTTATAATTTATTTATATTAAAATTTAAAAATGTATTATTTAAATCAGGGATGGGCAAATGGTGGTCTACTTTTTTAATCTAGTCCATGCTTCATTTTTAAAATTGTTTATATAATTCAGCGCCATTCTGTATTTAATTTTATTACATTAATTGTAAAATGCAGATATTTTATTCTTATCTAGTTACAAAAACAAACATAAAATATATTAAATTGATTTATAAAGAGTCTTAATATTATTGGTTTATTTCAATAATTTTTGTTTTTTATAAAATTTAAACTATAATTAAAAGTATTAATTTAGTATTTAAATACTAAAAATAAAATGAAAAAGGGTCTGAGACTCCTGCAGGAAATATGAAACATAAAATTATTAAAGGAAGGTTTAAAATATTAATATTTAGGCTACAAATTATTAAAATTATTCAGGAAGGATAAAATGATTTTATATTTATTTGATTTTTTCTTAATTATTATTTACATAACAAATTATTACAAAAAGAAAATAGTATGTTAAACATATAAATATAATTTAAATTTATATACTTCAAATTATGATGAAATATATAAACTTTTTTATTCTAAAAAAAAATGAGTCTAGGTCCCCGGAGACTATTTGATTTAGGTAAGAATTTAATTATCAATTACTAATTAAAAGAATTATAAATGTAACCTAAATTGAAAATTAATTAGAAAAATGGTACCCGAGAACAATATTATTTTGATAATAAAAATATGATATTTCTAACTTTAGAAGACTTTACATTATTAATTCTATAAATTTCACGCCTTTCAATTTTATTATCTCCTATTACCTAAATATACAATAACTATGGATTTGATTTTTTTTGCTCCATACTGTACACTGTATATGTTTTTTATTTATTTTTTATAATTATACTTGCGTGTTTCAACAGGCTTATCTTGGTAGTTTGGATTTATCACTCAGCCAAAATAAAAACCTGTGTATACTTGTTTTATGTATATATGTAAACTTCTATAATTAATGGAGACATGATAACCATAAGTTAATCATAGGATTATAAAAATGTAAAATGCAAGTGTATTTACAATATAAAATATACATTCAATCAAAAATTGGGTTGACAATGTATATTTGTCTCTTAGATGTCTTCGTCACTGATATTGATTTTCACAAACATTCATATCAATTGATGCCTTGAATATCATATTTGATAAATGTTTATAAATGTTTATAATATTCTAACATGTGTAATTCAGTAAGAACAAAACCAAAACTATGTTTGTCAACTTAGTTTTCAGATTGACTAATGTTTTAATTATTTTTAAACAACCATTATGTATTTAGAATAGTTATACAATTTCTTTATTTACTTTTTTATAGTTTCCCTTTGCTTTCTAGGCATAGGAAGGGTCTTTTTTTCTGGACAGGCATCGTCTGAAAACTAACTAATCAAGAAAATAAAGTAACAAAATTACTAACATATGAATTTAAACATTAATGTATTCAAGATACAAACAATAAAAAGACAATACAGAACTATTTACACTAGGGTTCATTTATGATATTTCTAAGATTTTCTTTCAGATATTTAACACTGTTGACTACATTTTCCCGGGATCCAAATTCTGTGTAAGGAACAGATAATACTTTGTAGCCAAGATACTTAGCTAGTCTAGTATTAAGTACTACAATTCCATTGGGTTCATTGTGACAACCTCTACATGTATCATGAAATCCAGTCAACATAAAAGCAACTGAGTAAGAATCTGGACTCTTCACCTTGGGACTGTCAAATGGAATAGGATTTAATTTTGAATCAATCACACATTCTGCATCTAAAATAAAAAACAAAAAAATGTTTATATTTATTTTAATTTAGTGTATAAATTACATAAGTATTATTCCTAAGCAATACAAAGAACATGTATCACACAAAAATTATGTTTGTAAACCATCTTTAGAAAAATATCAACAAAACACTAATATTCAAACTTTATTCTATCATTCTATTTTATAAATCATCAATTCATCTTAAAAGGAAATTCCCTAGGTATCTTCTCAAAAACTAATATCTAAATCTTCTAAAAATACAACGGCATTCAAGGAAATGTTAATAGAAACTTATTTCTGTCAAATAATCTTCAGTTAAGAAATCGTTGATATTAAATAAACATATTGTATTAAACTTTAATAATTTAATAAGTATTTGCTAACTAGGTTAATAAAAATATACAATCTTACCAATATTAAATCCTAAATTTGTATTAACATCCATTTTTACAAAATTTTCTGATGGGAACATCATTGATAAAACAGCCATCATTGTTGTCATTAAGACTTGTTTTTCTTTTGATTTCACTAATTCAATTTTGAAAATATCAGAATTGGGATCCAGTAATGGTCCTGAATAAAAATATATTAATAGATGTATATATTACCTTAGTTTTAAAACTTGATATTTAAGTTCAAAAAATAATTATTAATTGTCATACCTTTGTATGGTAATATGTTCTTGGCATATCCATTTATGTTAAGCAGTTTTATTGACATGACTATGTTACCTAGATAGCAAAAAATGCATCGTATAAAATAAGTATGGTACTAATTAATTATAATAAAATGCTCATTTAACAATTATAAAAATATTGTTATATTTTGTAATTCGTCTAATATTTGAATAACCAACAACTAAATATATGTACCTTTTAATTTCAGAAGATTTGAAACATAATCCGATGATAAAACTGATTCTAAATGATCATTGTTTGCTTTTTCTAATACAACTAAACTCCAGACAATATCAAGCCATGTATTTATATTACCAGCATCATTAAAGTGTTTAATATCAGTGAATACCTTAAATAACCAAATAAAATTTTTATAAAAAAAAAAAAAAAAATTAAAATAAGTTAAAATATTATTAAAAATAAAATAAAATAAAAACAATTACTTTAATTATATTATCCATATTAATAGGTTTGTAATTAACATAAGCTAATGTTAATAAATATGATGTTAATATGCTTGGTTTACAATCATTCATGTGTTTTTCTACCCAAATCGATAAGGATTCCAATAATTCTATAAAAGTAGGTAAAATTTAGTTTATAACATATTAAAAACTTAAGTTCAAGAGAAACTATAAAAATATAAAATACATGTATAAAGTAACTCTAAAAAACAAAATTATACAAAATCAATTTCATAAAATATGTCCATGAAAACATTTTATAATTTTTATGATGAAATTAATGACAAATAATTAAATAAATATTAATAAATAGGTATAAAAATACAATTATTATTATGGTTTTAAATTATAGTCTTAGTTCATAGAAATATTTACTATGTTTATATTTTCAACTTATACAAATTTATATTGTGTACAAAAAATACAATTATTAAATTAATATAAAAGAGCATATATAAATTAATAATATTTAGCTTAATACCTTAATGTAATATTTTAATACAAGGTATAAAACAAATTACCTGCATCTCTGTAACGTAAAATGCCAATGCTAGTTAATATAGATCCAATAACTGAAAATCGATCATTAGTGGACAGTGTTTTACGTAAATCTGCACCAACTTTTTCAAGTAGAACTTCATCAGGAAAATTCAATACAGCTAAAGCATATAATATATCAGCACATTGTTTAATATCTAATTTTTCAGAACTTCTTCCAATATTAAATGCTAATGATCTCATTAATGTTGTTGAACGTTTTTTCTTAGCACCAAGTGTTGATAATACCTTTTAATTGATATGCAATTATTATATGTTTGTTTAGACATCTGTAAAACAATTAGTTTTAATTCAAAAGTAGTTTACTTTGACCATTTGGGACAAACTAATTGAAGAAATAAGTTTGGCTGCTTCATCATCTCCTGTGATTCCCAGAACTGTAGATAGGTCACTAAATAAATTGTTTTTACCTTTTGAGCTGTCCTTGCCCAACATTTTACATAATTTTAAAAATCTTGGATCACTTTCAAAGTTATGCAATTGAGTTCGACCAGAAGAAGCCCAGTCAGCTAAAGTAGATACCGCCTATAAAAATAAAATAAAATAATTAATCATTAATATATTATTTTTAATTTCAGGACTATTTTTTCAAAGCAAAATATAAAATATATTAAGTTGGTTACAAATACAAAATATTGTACTTATATCATGCTATGTTCAAAATATTCTCACAATCATTTTTAGTATTAATTAAATATAATTTTCATATTAGAAAAATATGTTTTACTTTAAGTGCATGTTGTTTATTGATTAATCCTAGATCTGATATTGATAATAGTTCTTCAACGGTAGTAGCATTATCAATTTTATTATTTATAATAAAGATAGATGAATTTTTTGATTTAGCATTATCAATTTCTTTTAGCGACTCAAAAGCTTTAGCAACAATATTGTCAGATGTTTTTGATTCATCTAAATGAAGCTTTTTGGAAGTAGCTATACTAGAAGACTGCATTCGTGTTATAGACATCATAAAGTGCCTTGGTATAATTGGCCATCTCATCATAATGTATACTTTTAAAAAAATTACCTGAAACAAAAATACCACTAAAATATTTATTGGATAGATAATGATTAAAAATATGTAATATTTTATGTATATATACAAAAAAAGAAAAATATTTTAGTCATATAATTAATAAAATATATTATATACATAGATCCTATCATTAGAAATAACTAGTCTAAATTAATTCAAAGTAAATCATCACAAATATTGTTGAAATTGAATTGATTACTTTATTTGATGCATATTTAATTATGTGGCACCATTTTTTTTTAACGATTAAAATTGATAAGTAAACAAAAAAACGTTTAAGATTGAAAAAAAAAAACAATTAACTGTAACGTTGAAAAGGAAATAATATGTTATAAAATTAAAAACGGAAATTAATGGTTTTATTGATTAGGTGTATGAAACTTACAGATTTCCTTAGAAAAATATTTTGTTCATGTATTATTATGAAAAATTATATTTAATGTACAAGTACGCATACAGCAAATAATTAATTGATTATATACTATTTTGTGCTATAGAACTATGATTAGATGCATATAAAAATGTTGCAAAATTTAAAAAAAAATGTCTCTGTCCTAGGAAATGAAATCACAAGGTTTAGTTTACAAGTTTGTATGTTATACTATGCCGCAATCTGTATTGATAATTGATAAGACACAGATAGTATCGTGAAGACACCATGATTTCTTAGAACAGCTGTTCAAGTATAAATTATTTTGTTTGTCTTTTTTACTTTTTTACATAAATGTTTGAAGTATAAACCATAAAAAAAACATTTTGTCTGCGCAGCCTGTAAGACTAGGATAGTTACGCTGTATGCGTTGGAATTGTTAAATTTTATTTTGGGTAAGGTGATCGAATGTCATGAAAAAATGATGAAACGTTTTCTGTTAGTACAAAACGATGTAACGATTGGTGGAGGTTCGTTGTAGGTGTAGTAATACTGTCCTTCGATGATGTTTAATTACTTGTCTACAAGTCTATAATAAAATGATAATAGATGAACTTTTTCACCCTTTACTGTGGTCAAGAACAAAACTGTGAAGTACAAAATAATGTGTTCTCTAAATACTTACACAAAGTGCTTCTGTCATTAGTACACTCACTGTAATGGCCAATGTAGGTTTTTTGACAATTTTTTTTATCTTCTAAGTCTTGGTTTATTCAGATTATTTTTAGATTATTATTTTAAATTTTAGTATAAACACTTAAGTTGTTTTTTAGTAAAATTCTCAAAAATCTTCGTACAAATCGAAGCGTCACGCTTGTTACGAATTTCTGTCGTTCGAATTGCCGACCAAAAATAGTGTGACACATCGGTTTATAAGAGAATACATCAAGATAATCAGTGGTGATTTTTGTTTGTCAGTTAATATACATGATTAATTAACAGTTTTTTTACACTGTCGACTAATCAAAATTATGAAATTGTAATAAAATTGATGATCGAATTATTGCCATACATTTATTTCATGTGTTTTAATAATAAAACTAACTTTTATCGGTAATATAATATGTTAGAGACGAAAGAAACTATATGTGTACTTAGATTGAAATTCCAGTTTTTAAATATCACAGTAACATAATTATTTTGACTCCATAAGATAAATTTTTTATTCTATACTTATTAATAATCAAACAACAAATTTGTTGGAAAAAACTTGTATTTCATTATATCGTCGTTTGAAAAGTGCATCAAAGTTAACAAGGACCATACTGAAAATATTCTCAGGATATTTATCACTATGGTTCAGATATTTATGCACTTAAAATAACTGTAATATGTATTCATTTATGCACTAAAAAATTATCAAAAATACATTCAAATTATGCAAAAAAAATATAAAATATGTATTCTAGCTAAAAAAAATGTTTAAATATACATATTTAATATATATGTTACCGGCAATATGGATAATTCAGGTATTTTGCAAAATACCTAGGCATTGTGCAAATTGCCAACTCATTATGGGCAATGTAAATAAAATATATGATTTTCAACATTATTTTACATATAACCTAGGTATTTTATAAAATACCTAGGCGTTATGTGAAACGCCAATTTTTTTTTAGGAAAAGTACAAAACATTTTATTACTTGTTATATTACATTGATATTCTTATAATTATTATACATTATTACTCATTACAGACAAAATTTAATTTTTATCTATTATTATATTATTACTATTACATAAACATTTTACTTAAACTACTATTTACTTATAATAACATGTTGTAGAAAAGTGACATTTTGGAGTGCACAAAATATTATTTTTAAGGAAAATACAGTTTTGATTTTGACACTTGGACTTACAAGCACATTTTAAAAACCCTTGGCCAATTCTTATGGATTGAATTTTTATCAACTCATTATACTGTTTATCAGATAAAAAAGTAGTATTAGTGGCCACATTTTTAAAAAATATTTTTAGTTTGTTATAAAAATTTGATTTCATATAAATCGTATGCATAGTATTGCTACACCATAACGAGACACGAAAATGACGATATTGTAATAAAATTATTAGTAGGTATGTTCAATATTGTACCTCAGAATTGTTATTATAGTAGTAAAATAATACTAATCTTTATCGTGTTAAATCTTGCACGCACATTTATGGTAAACGATAAGTAAAGTCGATAGTAATAAACGCTGCCCAATTTTGTTTATTTTCATCATATTGCTTACTCCACGTTTGGCATTATACATAATGACTAGGCAAAGCTCGTATTATGTATATTACCGAGTGATTTTTAACATTTTATATAATGCCTAGGCATTTTGCAAAATACCGGATTATCCAAATTGACGATAACATATATAAATAAATTTATTTACATAAAATATAAATGTATATTAGTTTTAATACTAAAAATTAAAAATGTTACTTAATTTATAAGAATGTATATAATTTTTATAAGTTGTTATATTTATAATTTATATTCTTTTAATATTAGATATCTATATGCTATTTTGCAATATGAGCTTATATAAAATGATAAAACGATAAAATGGTTTTTAAGTTGAATCTAAAAATATTTAAGACAAACACTATTATACGGATTGATCATTTATCATTTATCTACTAGTTAATTGAAATATTTTTTAAAAAAGTTCGATAATCTATCAAAATATGAATTTTTATTTTTAAAATCCCAAAAATATGAATTTAAAATATAAAATCAAAAAATATGCAAAATAAAATTGTATTATTTGATTCGGTAGAACATGAATCAAACTTGTATCTTGGTCCGAATAAAATTAGTTTAAAAAAAAAAAAAAAAATGCAAATTCATAACCATCTGAACCCTACTTATCACCAATACACTTAAAAGAACAGGAGACATCTAAATAAAACCAGGAGATAAGGAAATAAGGAAAGCATTATTAACATTAGTTACTTATATGTTACTCAAGAAACTACCAGGAAACCAAAATAATTTATTTGAGTAGTTAACATGTTTCATTTAATATGAAACTAACCACAGATAAATGAATTATTAATTCGTGATGTACCTATATTATATTTTAAATCATGATACACATATGGCATTAAGGTACTCGCCTTCATAGGTATTATCAAAGAACATCAAAATAATCATTGAATAATTACATGAACAATACATTTAGCAGCTTATCAACTAGTCTAATTCTTATCAAAAAGTCATCAAAAATATATTACTGACAAGTCCTACTTATTTTTTACCAATTGTAATACGGTTTTAGTTAAAATGAAGTTTTTAAGTGTTGTTACCAATCAAGTAAGTTTCGGGCTTAAGTATTAAGTTCATATGCACTTTCTTTACTTGATTTTAAAGCAATAATTTTATATTCAATTTTAGACAGTAGCCAGCGGATTTTTATTTACTGCTTCTTATGCAGTAATGCCAGTTGTGTTAGCTAAGGAAGATCAAGAACCAAAACTCGTCAAACCAAAAGATTTGTCAATATATCCTGACGAAGTTAAGCATAAGAAAGTGTAAGATAATTATCTAATTTTTAAACTACATTTGAACAAATATTTTGAATTAATTTACATCTTTTAAATTTTGAAAATAATAATTTTAATTATAGCGAAAAAGAAAATAATTGGGAGCCAACCATAGCTTTAGGTTCCATTCAAAAAATACGGGATGAAATTATCAATCTGAATCAAAGGTGGTTTAAAGTCAAAGAAAGAGTGTATACTTTTGTTCAGACTGGGATCAGTCACTCAGAATGTAACTATATAATATTTACTTATTTTTCTTATATGTTAATATTTTTAATATATATATATATATATATATATGATGGAATGAAATTATTTTATTTTTATTAATTATTGTCAAATTTTATAATAAGTGATTATATAATCATACAGGATTTGTTTGAAAGCAAGTAATGATCTATAGATAATAATGGAAAACTGTTCCTAGTAAAAAAGTCACATGGAAAAAAGTTTATCATTTAATTTAATTAAAAGTAAATGTTTTAAAAAATTAGAAATATCTACAGATTTATCTTCATTAAAACTATGTGTAACTATCAAATTATAGCTTATGTCAATACATTGTCATTTACTATCTACAGATAAGATTTGTCAACCATATTTATTTTATAAATAAAATAACAAGTATAGTAGAAGTATAATTTTATTTATACTGCAACAGGAAACTTTTTTTCCGTTTACCTGATCCATACTAGCTATTGTCATGTAAATTATTATTTTCAACTGCATCTATAATATCTATTCAAAATGTTGTATAGGTATCAGCAAAATTTATTGTTGTATAATATTATATTTTAATTTTTTATGGCCCTTAGGTCAACAATTACATAAATAATTATTAAAAATTATTACAAATTAAAAATAATAACATAACTTTGAAATTGTCCTGATTTTTATTCATACAAAACATTTTTGGATTAAATAAATAAACCTGAAATATTTATAAATATTGTGTATGTGCTATGATTAATGCTCAAATCATTAAATCAGTTATCTATTTATCATTAAATATATGGTTTATTTTATCTACAATATCTTTTGGTTCACATTATGTTCTAATAAATTATATTTTAATTTTAAGCATTCATAGATAATTTGAGAGATGAAAAAAATGCTACTCTTCGTGCTGGATTTGTAGCCGGAGGAGGTCTTGCTGGTTTACTAGTTGCAGCTAGAAAAGGAAAGTTTAAAAAACTTTTATACGCTTCATCTGGAGCATCAGCAGCATTTTATTTTGGTTATCCGAAAGAATCAGAAGAGGCAACAAAAGTCATTAAACATTATTCCATTGTTTCCTATCATTTAATAAATAATGGTTTGTAGTTTTTATTCTTAACATCAAATTTACTAAATTAAACGATTCTATCAAATAATTCATTACATGTTAAATCTTGATATATTTTAGTAACCAAAGACATAACTGGTTTTGAATTACCGCCATTACCAACACCAAAGAATGATCAAGAGTCAAACAAATCTGTAGAAAATAAACCAGATTTAAAAGAATTATTGTTTTCAATTATGGACTCTGCTAAAGGACTGTTGGAATCTTTAAAAAAAATGGTTTTTAATGAAAAAAATGTAAGTATTAACAATATTTTATTTTAGAGTAAATGAAAATTTAGACAAAGATATAAAAATGTTTTTAAGAAATTATTATTTGAATCCGTAATTTGATTATTTATTCTTCATAGTAGGATTATTTAAGCATCATTTTTTATATATTCCAATTACACGAGAGCACTTTTGTAAGTTGTAGTATGCATTTACTTAATTTAAATTTCCAATAGTATTGACTTGTGTCCTAATTAGAATTTTTTTTTGGGAGTCTACAATATTTTATGACTAGAGTACTAACAGATTTTTAAAATAATATAAGTTAGTTCATATAATCATACATTTAAGAAAAATAAATTCAAAAATACATATTTTTCTTATTAAGTCACCAGTGATGTTATAATATTAATTTTTCTATTCATTGTCATAAATTAAAATTTTTTTTTAAATTTATTTCTAATTTACCTTATATTTGATAAGTATGAAAAATATATAATAATATTAATTTATAGTTTAAAATCGAGGCATTTTTTAAAGCAAACATATTAGTCGAATCGATGATTGCAGAAACATCCCGAGTCACATATTTTATGAAATTAACATATTAGTAAAAACGTATACTCGTTATGTGTTTTTACACTCAATGTATAAAACACATGACTAATATCTCAATTTCATAAAAAATACGACTCGTGATTTTTGATCAACTGTCATCAATTCAATTACTACTTTAGGAAAAATATGTATGTCTCTGTGTATATTCATTAGCAGGGTTGGGATTTTATAGCACTTAAAATTGCATAAATATACACTATAATACTACTTTAAAAATCGCTTAATAAGCTCTAAAAATATACAATAAAAACAACAAAATATGCAACAAAGAAAAAAGGAAATGTATTATTTAATAATTTTGTACGAGCACACGAGAAGAATGTGGACTGTATAAAACAAATTCTATACTCGTTCGATGATAATCGGCTATTAGTAGATTTAGTGGAAATCGATAAAAAAAAAAACCAACAAAATCAGCAGACAAAAATTAGAACCAAATAACTGAAACGAAATTATCGTAATATATTATACCTATCTATATATTATCCCTGTAATTGTACAGTGTTGCATTAGCGTAATCTGTCTATTTACTTAATCTATACATTTATAATTTACTTGAAAATTCGATTGATAAAAATCAAAAAAACACGTTTACTAAAATACAATTTCATAAAATATACCCGATTTTGATTAAAACACAGGTAAAATGCAAAAAAGTCTCAAAAAATCCAAAAAAAGCACTAAAAACTAAAAAATGCAAAATATGCAAAAAAAAAAGCAAGGTACAATTTTTTATCTCAGTTCTCTGTATCATGAAACACATTTTCAACTTACTCTGCTATTTTTTAAGTATCTCATAAGAAATATGCAAATGCTATAAAATCCAAACTCTGCTCATTAGCATTAAACTCTATAGTCTTAATTAATCCATAGAGTTCCTTAAATAATTTTCTATTTGTTTTAGAGTGAAAAATCTTCTTCCGACTGATTAAGTTGATACTGGTAATATTGATAATATTTTTAAAAAACTTTTATAATTGGGAATAATTCTTCTAACACTGATATTGTATTCAAGAGAATTTTTGAAATACATTTTTTTTTTTTGTTGGATCACTTTTGTTTCCAGACTTCAAATTTTCTTTAATCAAATCTTAACAAAAATAAATTGCTGGTTTTTAATCATTAAATGATAAATTTCTAATTTTATTGTGTAGTAAACATGATAATGAAATAATAATAATATTAGTTTATTTTGAATTGTTCATTAAATGATGCAAGTATATGATAGATATAAGAAACGAGTAATGATTCGTTTTGCAACAGGCAAATTTACAATATTTTATTTCATATTTCTAGGGTTGGGTTTGAGCCCGGAAGCTTCCTCTTTGGCTTCAGGATAGATATAAATTATTAAATAATATATTTGAAATAAAATGAGTGTAATTTTAAATGTTATTTGTCTTATTTTCATCATACATCTTTGTATATTTTTACTATATATTTACTGATAACTTTTATTTTTATACATAGGAACCAACTGATAAGGACAAAAATGATTCATAATCAATTTACATTTTATATTGTTAGTACATGATTGTTATAAAAAACAATAATTCATCAATGATATTAGATAATGATCAACATGCTTTATTTAATCGGTTAATCACATCTTCTTTGCCGAGTATTTCCATCATTTCACTAACACTTGGACCTTCCTGCAGGTATAAATTTAAATAATATAAGTGTTGAAAATAAATTAAAACAAAAATTTTTATTATAATTTACTAGCCTTCAGTCCACTAATGATGTTACGTAGCATTTTCATTAAGTGACTGTAAATTATATTGTTTGATTTAGAAAAATTTTTTAATACTGGTCCCAAATTATCTGTAGTGAAATTATCTATGTTTACTAAATGATTTTTTAAATTAATTACTATATCTGTAAGATCAAAATCATAATTAATTGAGTATTGTTATTATAAATAAAATAATAATTGTTAAGATTTTGTATATACATTTATTATGTTTGTAACCAGGGGCGGACGCAGAAAAAAATTTCGGGGGGGGGGGGAATAAGAATAATTACCATTATTTTGAAATAATTGATTATTGACTATAGTCAATCGTTATCACATGATTATACAACACAAAATGTAGGGAAATCTGTCAATCATAATGTACCATTGTAAATAATATTATATTGATTACATATATTTACTTATTTTTACTTACTGATAATAAGCGACTTACAAATACGCATTATTTTTACGAATTATTGCCATCATGGAATTTCAAAAATTTGAGTTTAAAGTAACAATATCCTTTAGAACGTTTGGAAAATTACAAATTATTGCAGATTTTTTTTTCTTAACAAAAAATTTTTTTTCTAGCATATTTATATCGTGTTTTGAACAATTAATTTTTTTTAAGGTACATAAGGTAGGATAACTATGTTTGAAATTAATCATCAATTTATTTGAGGGAGGGTTTGAACCCCCAAAACCCCTCTCTGTGTCCGCCACTGTTTGTAACCTTTATCATAATCCATAGATTTTAGCGCTGACTCTGATGGTTTTATCCAAATAAACTTATAGTTTTCATGAATAAGTTCATCAATGTTTGTAATCCTATTCACACTCCACGTAAGTATTTTGTTTAAATGATCATCAGATAAATCCAAATCAATTGATTTGCTGAAACACATTTTATATGTATTATAATTATGTGTATTACATTTTTTGTTGGTATTTTTATACTTATAAATAAAATACTATCATTTTAAATTTCATTATAAACTGTCATAATTGTTTGGCAACAAAATATCTAATGTTTTTAAATACAGTATTAAACATGATATATTGGTAAATTATAATGAATTAACTAATAATATAATTTAATAAATATTAATATTTTGTTCAGCTTTTTATATAATGTAAAATAATATATTGTTTAGATAAAAGTCATAGACTGCCTCTTATAATATAGTATAATTTATTTTCTAAATATAGTGTAACTTAAGTGCAATGTAAGGTTAGTTACTATAATAAAGTAATGAGTAATATTACTCGTTACTCATTACCAGGGTTTGTAAGGTCATGCCCTAAAAAATGCCTGTTTAATCTCACTCAAGTAGACTTGTATATGCATATGTAGAACAATTGCAATTGTTTTAAATTAAAATTTATTGTTAAACATAAATTAATGATTTACTCAAATTATTGAATCTTCTTATTAAATGTATATTTTTTGATCAAATTGTACAATATTAAATATTTTAATGTACGTCAAGGGACTATATGCATGGATATACAAAAATTATCATAACAAATACTTAAGATATACCTATATACTTAACTAAAAATATAATAATTATTTATAAATCATATATATTATAAGAGTATAATATAATGTATAACGCCAATATAAGTTTAAAATAGGTCAAAATATGGAATTTAGTGTAAAAATTACATTCCTAAGTAGTGGCGTAATCTACAATCGTAGAACATAAAACTAATCGCTTGATACATAGAACTATACTAAAAGATTAACTCCAAAATTATAAGAGTTATTAATAATATTATGTCATTTAAAGATATTAATGTTATCATTGTGTTTATATAGTTCCAAAATCATTTAAAATTAAGTTGATTATCAGTACGATACAATAGTAGAACGCCCAACTGATGTAGGATTCAATATAGTGAAATTACTTTACTTTTTAATAAAGAAAATAAAATTACTTTCAAGTTACAGTTGAAAACAAAATTGTATACAAACTTTTATCTATATACTTTTAAATATGATATGGAGTCAAAATGGTATACGGGCAAAATAGTGAAACAATAACCACAAATGTAAAAATCAGGAATTAATAATGGCAAAAATAAAAACAGTGAATTTTAAAAGAGTGAAAATATACAATTAGGCATTTAGTGAAAAATTATATGCTATACTATTATCAAAGTCATTATTATCATTAGTATTTTAATTAACAAATGAAGTCTTTTTAGCACAGTTCTTGAACTTTTTTTTATTTCTAGTTGTTTTTCAGAATTATGCTGTTCTTGTTTTAATTCTTCTAAATTCCAAATTTTTTCTATTTCATTAATAAATTTCCATACAGTAGGATGGCTTTCTCCTAAAGAATTATTGTATTATTAAAAATATTAATTATTAATAAACTAAGTTATAGTTTTATAAATTTTGAAACTTATCCAAGTACTATATTAAAATGTATAGTATTTAAAATAGAAATTACAAAAAACTGCAGTTTTGCTATAATGCATGATCACTTATTTTAAAATACGCTATTTTGGCCTAAAACCAATCAAAATATTTTTTTTGAAATGTAGATATTTGTAAAGCAGAGAAATTACTTATATAAGTTCATTTCCATTACATATTTGACACAGCAAAAGTTATACATTTATTTTATAATATTATGTAACACATTGCTATAAAAGTAGCAGTGTTACTATCCTTTATGTTACTACCCAACACTGCTTAATTGTGTAAAGTAAAAATTTGTTATAGTACTCTGTAATTTAATATAGTTAATTAAAAACTAGTAACTTTACTAGTTGACTTATGCTATCTTATGTACAAATGTTATAAATTAAAATCTACATATCTTAGTTTTTTCGAAAATTAATGTCAAGATAAACTTAAAATTAATACTAAATAAAAGACTGTCTCAAAGGGTAAGCTGTAGATAGAGTAAATAATAAATCAGATACTACGCCAAAGCTATTAGATTTAAGAGAAGAACTATGGCGTACATAGAAATATAATCTGATAGATATAAATATTACTTCTTTAGCTAACTTGAAAAAAGTTAAAGATAACTGATTAAATGGTAAAATTAAATGAAACCTTACTCAGTAGAAAATGTATTGAGAACAAGTTTTTTCAAATTTTCAACAGTTTTTTTTCTTCCAAAGTCTGTAGTTATTTCAATTTTTAATTGAGCTTGATTGAACTTCCCAAGTTTATCTAGAGGTACTTGACATGAATTAGGGTTTATTAAACTTATATCAAACTAAATAAAAATTTAAAATGAAATAAATTTATTTTTAACAATAGAATCATTATATTCCATACTTACTTTAGAAACAAGTTCTGTAAGAGATCTTATGTATATATTGTTTACATTATTGTCTTTAAATCCTCCCCCACAACTTATAACAAAATTTAAAAGTGCTTCGGGATAAATGCCTTTTTTGCGATATGAACTGATAGTTATATCATTTTGACGCTTGGAAAGTTTTGTGCCATTTATATTGGTTAACAATGGTAAATGTCCAAAATTAGGAGGATTCCAACCAAATGCTCTTAAATACACAAACTAAAATAACAATAATTATTTAAAAAATAATTTTTAAATTACTAACTTATAAAGTAAAATATGTTTAGATGTTGATGGCTGCCATTCAACACCTCTTAAGACATGTGTAATTTTCATATCATGATCATCAAGAACATTAGCTAAATGATAAGTAGGAAAACCATCAGATTTTAGTATTATTGGATCGCCTTCGACAGCTGCTACATTTCTAGCAACATTACCATACACTAAATCTTTGAAATGACCGTCACTTTGGTTCAGCTAAATAAATTAAACACATTATTTTCTTATGCATTAAGAAAATAGAAAAAAATAGATAAATTAAAAGTATACCTTAAATCTGATACAGTATTTTTTCCCTTCATTATGTTTCAACTCTTCTTTGTCTAAACTTCTACATTTATTGTCATAACGAGGAATAGTTCTGGTACGTAAAGCATCTCTTCTTAAAAGTTCTAATCTCTTCTCAGTACAATAACATCTATAGGCATGGCCACTACTTAATAAATGTTGTGCTCTTTTCCTAAAAAAGATGGCAAAGTATAAAACATATAAATAGTAAATATTTGTATTAATTAATACTTATATATTTCTAAACGCTCAGACTGAATATAAGGTCCATACGGACCATTGTTAGTAGGTCCTTCGTCAAATTCAATTCCTAACCATTTTAAATCTTCTTGTAGTTGTTCTACTGCTCCAAAGATTACTCTTGAACGATCGGTATCTTCGATTCTTAAAATATATTTACCACCTTTTGATTTAGCAAATAAATAGTTATAAAGTGCAGTACGAAAACCACCCAAGTGCAACTGTCCTAAGAATACCGAATAAAAATTTAATCTTGAATATCAGTGTTTATTTTATTAGTTTGGAGAAAATTTATAAAATACTTACCAGTAGGACTTGGAGCAAACCGTACTCTTACTGTAGTATCTGAATAAGGCCGAATATTCAAATAATGAAAATATATATTACGACTAGAATTCTTTAAATTAATTATCCGGTTACACATGTTCATTTAATTATTCAATAATAATTTAGTTTAACGAACTGAATAAAAACATAAATAGTGTAGATACATTGATATAATTTAACGAACGTCTAGAGACAGCGCCTCTTATCTGCACTATTATCATCAGTATTGCACTATCACTACAGTTGCCTTATCACACAATCGGTTGATTACATTTAAATATTATATTTAAACAAACAGCCATAATATTATATTATTTAATAATTATAATAATTGTAATATATTAATTATTTAGTATAATTAATTTATATAGTACAAACTACAATGTCATCAAGTGAAGAATTAGAAGTAATACACTTAAAATGTTGTTCTCTTCAAGGTTCATATAAGCACTACTATATAAGTAATTGTTGAAGTACAGATATGGACAGAAGTTAAAGGTAAATAATAATACGATCGGATATATATAATATAATAATACGATGTACAATAGTGTTACAAAGCGTAATATAAATCAAAGTCTAACTATGTATACTGTCGCGTCCTGCGTAGTCACATAATAGAAAAATACATTATAAGGAGGTTCTTATGAATATCAAAACCATACTTGTGGATAAATTAAATTATTTAATTAGTTCACTTAAGCATTATATGGGAAATTAAGATAACAAATGAATAATCGAAACGACAGTGACCACATCCTGTATCATTGCATTAGTAATTATGTACCACACACATGCAGAATCAATAAGAAATTATCATGTTTTATTGTCATTAACATATACACACACATACTTGCATATATTAGATATAAAAGTTGGTCCCGAACAGGCCCTATTCAGACGAGTTTTGGCTATGCGGCACTGAGCACCTTCTCGTCAGTGTATGTCATGGTCTGGACTTAGAAATATTTTGAACTAATTTTATAAAATGTAATTGTTAGGACATAGAATATTTTCTATAGTTTAAATATTTGGACTTAGCATATTTACAACTTACTTAAATTTATTGTACTTAGGATAATTTTAACAGTTTAATAAATTAACTTATCTTAAAGAGTCTTAATTATTTCTTCACTACACTTACATCCAAGCGTTGACTAGACACTAGTACTGGAATTAACTGATTAAACGGTTGGCATGCAACAAAATTGCGGAGTCGGTAGGATATTCAATTGAAGGCAACTCCACGTCGGAACCAACGAGAAGCTGAATAACCTGCAATCCTTCAACTTCTCATCTTCTATTGAATAGTTGATACTCCACCGGATCATTCAATCAATAGGTCTTCAATCAACACTTGCTTGTGAGCATAGATTTTTTTTGTAACAACTATATTATTTTAAGTAACAATTATTTTTTTTACACATATAAAAGAAATTCTAACATTTTATAAAAAGAAAATAAAACATTCTAAGTTCATAAAAAAATCATTGACACCTAATAATTCTAACTAAACATACCTACATTATTATTGAGAATTATTTTTATTGAAACATACTAAATGGCTATGATCTCAATTACAATTCCGGTATCAACTGCAGGGTGTGAAAGGACATTTTCTTGCCAAAGAAGACTTAAGACATACATGCGAAACAAAATGACAGATGAACATCTATCGAATTTAGCTATGATGAGCATTAAAAAAAAATTGGCGAAATCATTGGATCTGGATGAAGTGATAGGTAAATTTGCAGTCAACCATAATAATCGAAAAATTATTTTTGTTCGAACACGATCAAGTTCCCGCCGACATCGCCCGAGACGGCTCATAATAACTCGCTCAATTGGAGGCACTGCCTAGTTTTTTAGCTTTCCTCCTTCTTTTACATACGGCCTAAAGCAACGGCAGGCAAAAGCCGTTGGTGAAGTCAACCCGGTTGTCTTTTCTCGATCGTTGTGGCGTTGGGGTTGATTTTTGCGCGGACGTTTTAAGTCGCTGTCGTGGAGTCACGTGATCGCGGAGCGAGGATCGGCTCGTGGCTGTCGTGCCACAGTTCTGTGCGAATTTTTCATGTTTCGTTTTGGGCCGTGTTTGTCGGAGTGGACGTTTTTTCGCCGTGCGCGCACGATTGAAGGTTCAAGTGATCCAGAGGGCATCTTCGGCTCGGGTGCTTTGCAGTGGTCAACCGATCAGGTCGTGCCTTTTTATTGTATTATAATATAATTTATGTGTGTTATTGCCAATATTGAATTTTGGTATAGGTTATTGTTCAGTATTGTGTTATTGCCTATACGGCACATCGCAAAACGATTAATAATAATAGGTATTGTAGCATCTGATATTCGAATATACATTACATCTCTAATACCTATCATATTATATTATTTTAAAACATACGATGTTTAAATTAATATCGTGATGGGTGTATAGAATCCTGAATCAATAATTATTATGCAATAAAAATGACAATCGTCGTAGGTACCACTCGTACAACGTACACAATACGCATAAACTAACCACTAATCACTAATGGTAATCGTACGACAATATTGTTATTATTATCGTGATATTAATATAAACATCGTCTGTTTTCCGGTTTGTCCATCTACATTCTACATAGTATTTTACATTTGACAGTCGAATCGTCCGGACTACTCACATAAAACAATTAAGTTGTAATTTTTGTTATACCACGTGTTCAAAAAGTTTGGAAACACTTTAATTGTTGTTTAAAAATGTATTGTTTATAGTTTATTGTTAATTCATTATTTTCGATATATTGTATTATTTTTGTTTAAATAATTATGAAAATTATATAAATAATAACAATATAACTGTCGACTATACCTAATCATGGGAGAGGAAGATGAAATCAAAATGTTAAGCAGTTCGAGTGGAGCAGCCAAAAAACGAAAACAAAAAAAAAAAAAATAGAAGAATCTGAAGCAAAACTTCCTAAAATTACTAGTTTCTTAAAAGTTGCTAATAAAGAAATTGTTGAGAAAATTGGCTTAGAAATTTCTACTAATTTAAAACACAAAGTTACAAATTTAAATGACCACCCAACTAAAAGTGTCAATGAAAAATCACTAATAGATAATATTCACAATAATAGCATTAACAGATGGGATTTACTCTCAAAATTTATTGGGGAATCTACTATCATTTTGAAATGATTAAATCCTATTCGTTGGGCAGGTCGATATATGTCACTGTTAGCTATTAAACTGAGATATCTTGATATAATGAAAGCATTAACTGAAATACATTTGAATACTAATAAGCCAGATGAGCGAAATGAAGCGATTCGTATAATTAAAACTATGAGTACCTTTGAATTTATTTTTATATATATAATTTTAACTGAAATTCTGTCTCAACTTAATTTGGTTAGGTATCTCCTGCAGTCAAAAAACGTGGATATTTTAAAGGCTACAGAAAATTTAAAAATGCTAAAAATAATTTAGAAAAATTTAAAAATGAATATGAAAATGCAAAAGTTAATGCTCGAAATATTGCTAGTAAATTGAATGTCAACTCAGAATTTTCTAATAAAAGGAGAAAAATAACAAAAAACCATTTTGACGAACTTGCTCAAGGATTTAGGTTTGAAAATAATGAAAATTCATTCAATGTTAACGTGTTCTATAAAGTTTTGGATGTCGTTTGTTGTCAACTTCATAACCATTTTGTAGGAACAAATTAAATGTGTAATTTATTTAATTTTTTGAGCCCTAGTGTATTAATTTCTCTTTCAGAAAAAGATATAATGGAATATTCACAAAAGTTACAGTTAAAATATAGTAACGATTTATCAGCTGAACTCCTCCTATAATTAGTTATGCTAGTTTCAATGACTAACCTAACCTAACCTAAAAGAAGAGTTAGCCAAGTAAAACTCGATAAAAGAATTTTTAGAGTTTTTAATGAAACAACCATTACTAACTTCAAGTGTTTCAGTATCATCAGCCAATGTCGAAGATCATTCTCAAAGTTAAAATTGATAAAAAACTACTTAAGAAGCACCCTAGAACAAGAACGCTTCGGCGATTTAGCAATCTTAGCCATAGAAGCCAATGAAGCAGAACAAATGGACACTTAAAAACTGATAAAAACATTTTCTGAGATGAAAGCGAGAAAAAAAAAATTTGAATAGCTACTTTATACTTTTGACAGTTTAGTACATATGACGTAAATGTACTATATTTATAATAAAGTAATGACTGTTATTCTTTTTTTTTTTTTTTTTTGATTTTGGTAATATAAATATATGGAGGCCAACACTTGATACTGCCCCGGGGACCCAAATTTATAGTTACGCCACTAAAAAATACCTAAGAATTAAATTTAAAAAAAATATATATATTGTGTATTTACTTATTGTTTTATTATTTTTAAGGAATGTGATGAAGGAGGGGGGGTTAGTAATTGTTGATCTCTAGAAAAATACTAACCACTCTAGAAAAATGTTAGCGAAAATAAGGCCACCCCAGTTGTGTAATCCTAGCTACGTGCCTGCTAGTTGTCCATTTTAATCTAAATCGCCTTCTCGATCACACATTTCACTGCTACTTTATACTTTTGACAGTTTAGTACATATGACGTAAATGTACTATATTTATAATAAAGTAATGACTGTTATTCTTTTTTTTTTTTTTTTTGATTTTGGTAATATAAATATATGGAGGTCAACACTTGATACTGCCCCGGGGACCCAAATTTATAGTTACGCCACTAAAAAATACCTAAGAATTAAATTTAAAAAAAATATATATATTGTGTATTTACTTATTGTTTTATTATTTTTAAGGAATGTGATGAAGGAGGGGGGGTTAGTAATTGTTGATTTCTAGAAAAATACTAACCACTCTAGAAAAATGTTAGCGAAAATAAGGCCACCCCAGTTGTGTAATCCTAGCTACGTGCCTGCTAGTTGTCCATTTTAATCTAAATCGCCTTCTTGATCACACATTTCACTGCTGAAGGGGTTCCTATGCTAAAAGAAATAAAAAAAATCTATTCCCGGTTACATTACTCATGTATCGTAAGAAAGTTAAGACTATATATTATTAAATATATTTTGAACAAAAATTAGAAGAAATGTAATT